ATTTAAACCCTGCAAAACAAATATGAACAAGTTTTGGCCACCGTGAAATTGGCCTCACTGGTCAACAACAATAGAACCACCGGCCTTCGAGGTGTGTTGCCCAAAAACCGTTTTGTCCAATCTTTAATCCTCTTGCTTCCCTTCTTTTTGTCCAATGTGTTTTTGGGTGTCTTTTGGACTTGAACAACTTGTTCAAATAAAGCCTATATAATTTAGGAAATCACGCCATATATAAATGAATGGTCAAAATATAATTTAGAAAATTGTGCCCTATAAGACTATGCTTTATGAACCGGGCCGGGGGGAGTAATAATATATGGTGTGTTTGGTTTCCTGGCGTACTAGCCTGGCCATATAGCCATCCAAGTCTGGACAGCCTTAGCATGTTTCCACAAGGCTAATTCCTAGTTGTTTGGTTGCCTATATTCTCTAAGCCTGACTAGCAAATGATGTGTTTGGTTGCTTGGTTTTCTGTGCATAGAATCACCCTTTCTTCGAATTAGTAAGTTTACCCCTATGAGGCATTTCGTCGAACATGTGGTGGGCGCACAGGGGAAGGAAGAAGCGAGAACCTAGGGGGCTGCTGGGACGGGCCACCACCGTGCGCACCGTTCCGGGGAGCTCGTTGTTGTGCCCTTGCGGAGCTCCTCCTCCACCGAGACGCTGCATGCCTCTAGCTATGCCCCCGCGGAGCTCCTCCTCTGCCCTCTCGCCATAGCCGAGGAAGAGCGGCACCTCCGCTGGGCCCTTGCCGCGCGAGGCGGATGCCTCATTGTGCGAACCGCTGGGGCCTCTTTGATGCTTGATCCCGCCGCCACGCCATGTGAGGCCACTGCTGCGGAGGCCACATACCTCGCGAGTTCACCATCGCAGGGACTAGCCGCCGCGCCACGCGAGCCCGCCATTTGCGCCTGTGAACCCGGCCATCAGCCACGGAAGGAGGAGGGCGGGATGTTGTTGTTGTTGCACTTGCCGGAGGAGGGGAGACGGGGAGGAGGCGGTGGTCGTCACTAGAAGGTGAGGCGAGTGGACGCCAAATTGAGACGTAGCCTGGCATTCGGAAACGCTCACCCCTTCCGTTTCCGGCTAAGAGGTCGTCGGTGGCTTCGTGGAGCCTGGTTAGGAGGCCCATTCAGACAACCAAACAAGTATAGGTTGGCTTGAGTCTGGCTAGAGAGATAGCCAGCGAACCAAACAGACCTATAGTGGACCGAAAGAAAGTATTGTATGAAACAGCTCCACATACTAATTAACATTATTATGCAATTTTTATTGTCAGATTTATTGCTCAAAGGAATCTCTCTCTCTCTCCTGATTATTTTACTATCAGATTTATTGCCCAAAGAAATCTCTCTCTCTCTCTCTCCTGATTATTTTACTATCAAATCAGCGAAAAGGTAATCATACGTGGCACCCAATTGATGTGCATGATAGAAGTAGCCTTAGGGCAGTTCCAATGCTACTAGCCACGAATAGTTTCTATCCTTATTAAGTATGACACTACACATAGAAGTTATGTACTCAATTGATAATTTCTATGAAATAATTTTTGTCCAATCACATTATTCTCTTCTCATCCTCTACCTATCACATTTTTTGGTGCCTTGATTCTCACATAGACATGGTTCCTTATTATCTAATAATCTAGAAGAACACCCCGCGCGTTGCTGCAGGAACTACTGATTTGGAATGGAATTTAACTATTCATACAATTCTTAGGAAGAAATTAACTATTATAAACTAATGTTAGTGGATAGCGTGGCACGCTGATGTTGACAACTAAATGTATGTTAGTGGATGATGTGTCCGGCTGACGTGGATATCATAATTACTTGTGCTAATGAACTTTAATTACAAGTGATAGTGGACTGCTGAGGTGGACACCTTGAATAAAAATTTGCTAACGGGGTTTTGCTTTATAAGAGTATGGGATCATTTCCTCCTTCTTTAATTGCAGTGTCACATCATTTTTTAGCTTAGTTAGTATCTTAATTAATGAACATAGAAATAGAAATTATGTAGTGTCTTGGTTGGGAGTGCCCTTATCGCGACCAACAGTCAAAAGCCCTATTAAGAGCCTAATAAGAGCTACTTCAATTTGGGCCATTGAACAGCAGAAGAAGAGGTTCGTTATCCCTAACCGGTCCTGTAGCTAATGGGGACATGTTGCACATCTCACTTTCAATCAAGGAGAGGAAGTATGGAAAATTCCAAGGATGGCTGGATAGCCTGGATTCAGCTTTGCGCATTCGATCATTCTCCGTCACGTACTCTCTCCGCCATCTCCGCCAGTAGGGTTTAGGAGTATGTATCACGGGAACAGTGCTTGCACTTGCACATTCGTGCCATCTTCCTCGTATAGGTACAACCGTACAAACCACGTTGTCCAGGTACATTTTGTTTTCCATTGACTCAATTTCAATGAAACCATATTGAACATATACAAACAATTGCGGATGACTTGGTTACTTGGGCACTTCTACGTACAACCCTTTGAATAACAATCTCACTCCGTCCTGCTGCCAGTAGGCTTGCCATTTCTCGGAGGGGAAAAAAAATCTTGTGGTTGACAGCAAAGCATTATCGTAGGTTTGCGGGTTCATAAGCGTTTGGATGATGTATATCCATCTCAGTCCATATTCGTCGGGGTGTGTTGACGTAGAATTTAGTGGGCATCCAAACATGCTCTAAATGGCAATCGTAGTAACTGTAGCTTGGTGTCTGCGCGACGTGAGACTAGCCATGTGGGATGTTTGTGGACGGAGGAGGCCCATCCCAAACCTTATCCCTAGGTGGCTCGCCAATGGGCGGACATGAATTTCCCTGCGTGGGCTGCCTGCACCCCCCTTGCCTGGATTTTTGTGTTACCTGTCATCGAACAAAGAAAAACCAAAAGGAAAAGAAAAAAGGTCCTGTACAGTGTACAGGAGTGAAGGACGGAGAGGGACGATCGGTCTATGAGTAGGGATAGAAATGGATGTCTGAAAATTCGAATTTCTCGTATCCGTTAAAACTTGTAATACCGATATTCGTATTCGTATCCGTTTCTAACGTGGATACTATGGATGCATCCGAATTCATTTTTCAGTATTTTCTCTATCCGGTTCCATATCCGTATTCGACAAAGGTATTATTGGAGTTTTAGAAAAATACCATGGTTTTATGAAATACTTTGGTTTTGGAGTGTCACGAAGTGTTTGGGTGGTGCAACAAACTTTATGGTTTTAAATACCATGGTATCTTTGAAACTGTAGTCTTTTGGTGTTTTAAAAATCCACCTTTTTCTAAACCACGGTTTTACACATCAATGATTCTAAACTATATATTTTTTTTTACTATGGTTTCTCAATAGTACAACATCCAAACAAGGCCTCAAACCCGTGAAGGTGCCTCCTCCAAGAAAAACCTGACGAATGAAATCCACACGTTCCAAAACGAGTTGCGTCTGGACGGACGTCGTTGCCTGTACTCGATGGTTGGAACGACTCGCGTGCATGTCGCACGACGCCCACGCACAACACACCACACACACACCGATAGCGCGACGACCGGTGCTTCAGTTCAGTTCTGAGCACCGGAACCGTCGGACCCAGCTCTCGGCAGTCCTCCTCCGTGTGTGCCGCGTCCGCCCGCCCGCCGGTGACGAGGCGCGCGCGGAGACCAGACCGACGGACAGCTAGCGCCGCGCGGCGCGGGGCCGTCGATCGCAAGGCGCCACCGGCGACGTCGCGTCAGCCCGCGTCCGTTTCCGCGGTGGCAACATGCCTACTACGCTTGTAGTAGTACTAGTCTATCACGAGGTCTTGCAGGCAGCAGTGTCCCCCCCAGGCAACGCCCCCCTCATCATCACCCAAGACTCGGCGCTCGGCGGGGCCGGCCCTGTTCGGAGGGGCAACGTCGCAACGACCAACCAGAACGTCCACGAGATGAGTGAAACACGAGTCGCGCGTCAGCACTCAGCACCGCCCGAACAAGCAGCCAAAACGAACCAGCGGGAAGGAAGCTGCAGGAGGCAGCAGCCCGTACGGAACACAGTGGATGCATGCGCTCGTACATCACCACACAATAATTGCATTGCATGCAGAATACACCATCTCCGGCATGGCATGTGACAGACCAGCTAATAAATCCTCAGAATTCTGAGGATTTATCCCTTCACAGAAACTCGAACAAATAAACCCTGAGAGTGGCAGAACTTTGACCAACGAAGGAAGTTGCAAAGAAACATGTATGATCCATAGAGGGTTGGCATGATGAGCCATTTAGCAAAAACGGAAAGAAATGTTTATTTAACAACGTTTGATCCATTAGTCCCAATTACATACTCGTGGACATTATCAAGGGCCAAAAATGAGTAGACAAAGGGGGGGAAATCAAAACAAGATTACATCCTAATTAATACCCAACTCGCAGCAAAGGGGAGACTTGAGGAAATACGCAAATAAATCTGTAAAAAAATAGGTAATAGTACATCTTCACTTTTTTTTTACTTGCTTGTGTAAATACTACAGGCTGGGTGGGTGAGCAGGGTGGGAGTCCTCTCCATGGAAGGAAGGTCAGCTTCGACAATCGTCGAATGTTTTGGAGTAGGAGTCGGCAGAGGATAATCAGTCTTGCAAATTGCACCGTTAATCACCTTGTAGACAGTAGAGCTGGCGGATATTGCCCGAAGCTGAGGACATGACAACAAAGAATTTCCAGTTACCCACACAAAACAAATCGAGTTTTCAAGAGAAGACCCACACGAAACTAACTAGTATCATTTTCAGCAAATATCATTTAGAACCATTGTGCTAAAAAATGTGGCAGGAGCACTGCCAATTCCAAACACAAGTGGATGAATGGTCCCAGGTATTAGTTTATAAAGAGAATAAAAGGAAAAAGGTATTTTTATGGTATCGCATACTGTGTAATTTCGGTGATTAAGCTAGGTTTACAAAATAAGAAGGTATACTTCCCAAGGGTAAAGAACTATAGAAATCTGACAAATAATTATCATATCACTGCATATCTGTTAACCATGATTGACATAAACTGTGCAACACCAAAGGTTTCTTTATGTAAACCCAGAGTCAGTTTCTAATGAAATGTTGATCAAGATCGAACGTAACGATTAGGTGTTAGTATGTTACCGTATAACCAATCCTTGAACTGAGCATGAAGGGCAGTTGCCAATTCCCTTTTCCGATTCTCATCAAGCTGCAGCTCCCGAATCATCTTTTGGATATCTTCCAGAGCAGAATGCTGATAATGAATATAACATACTTAGGAACATGTGACCTTTAGGAATACAGCATGGTAAAATATAGAAGTGAACTGACTGTGCCAAACAATGTTTAAGAATATATCAAAATTTGCACTATGTCTGTAAAACTTTATACTACTTTACTGAGAAATATAGAAACAATAATTTCAGACCTCATTCACCTTCTTGGATTAGGATTGGAGTATAGGACACTCAGAATTGGCATAGCACTAATGATGAAAACAGTAGACAGTAGGTACGTATGGTGGACAGAGAATTTTCTTCCCCGGTTTCCTCATGTTTTCCATTTCTTTGCCATGTAAATTCATAAAAATTATCAGAACTTACATTGATGTTTATTATTACCTCCATTCTAAGTCTAACTTTACCGAGTCAACAGGAAAATGCACCAACGTCTACAACACCAAATTAGTTTCAATAAATCCACCATGGAATATATCTTGATAGTGCATTTATTAGGCATTGTACATTTTAGTATATTTTTCCTATAAACTTGGTCAAAGTTAACTAAGTTTGACTTAGGACAAAACTAAAATGACCTACGATCTGGAATGGAGGGCGTAGCACACATGTAGCCATCAAACAGAATATATTATACTAAATGAAGAAAGTGAGGTTGCCCATGCCATTGTAAATAGAGAGCTGACAGAATCCACAAGTATACCCCAAGGTATTTTACATTCATGCATTATGAAATGAATAAGGCAGCTTCATATCAATTAATATTAGTTTTGAAACAGAAAAACATTTCTGAGAAGCCATTAGAACCTATGCTTAAGGGATGTATTATGCTTAGCTCTATTGACTTTAGTCACTTAATATACCTTTTTGCTTTGGAATGCCCCATAAATTTCAGGCAGTGGGAAAGGATTGCAGTTTGTAGGCTCTTGCCTTTCATCCCCAAACCAACTAGGAATCTGCAGAAGAGAAGTTAATATTTTTATTAAAAAAACAGCAGTTATATTAGCTAATAAAAGAATGCATCAAATGACAGGTTCAGCATCACTTAATATTTTTTAATTAAAAATAGCAGTTCTATTAGCTATAGAGTTTAGTCTCCTAGTAGTGTGTGGGATGTATTTGGGAGGGGGCTTTCTTTGCCTTACCCTTTTCCTGTGCAGTTTGTACAATTTTTTTCTTTCTTGGTGAAATGACACAGCTCTCATGTGTTGTTCAAGAAAAAAACAACGCATCACTTAAAATGCATCTTCCAGTTGGAAGCATCAGTGGAGAAAAATGTGATAGATAAATCAAGAACTGACTCAAGTATTCTAGCATGCAGGTGATTCAAGTTGCCACATTGCAATTACTGCATGCAGCTGGCATATTTACAGAATGGACTCAATACTCACTTGCAACAGAAAAGATGAACAAGGCAAGAAACAATGTTTTCATAGCACATCAAGAACAGAGAAAAAGAAACTTTAAGGTAGAAGACTGATTGGATCTGTGCTTGTGTCGTTTTACAGAGCTAAAGCCTAAAGCTTTAACATACCAAAAAATTGGTGAATAGATCAGGATCCAGACATGTTGCTGATTCAGCTTTAACATCTGAAACCCCAGCAGGATGGGATAATGAATCATGTGGATCAACAACTCCCAACACAAAAGGTTGGTCCCATTTGTTGACACTGGGATTGACACCCACTTGCATCATATGATCCTGCAGCTGTGGGTAGCATGTATTGAATGGAGCAACCTGTTGATACAGATAAGGAAATTTACCATGAGAAAATATTAATTATTAAATACTAATGTATAGTGTAAATCACATCACTGAGTTCAATATTGTCCTTCACACTTATTTGATATTTCTATGTACCCTGAGTAGCAAACACTATGTATAATTATTGGCTTTAGACCTTGTATTTAAGCCATCCATTTAAGAGATGGGAAACCAACTATTTAAACCATCACCCCTACCACCGCCATTCAAAAGAGAAGAAGGCAAAGGAACAACAGAAACTTACTTGTAATTTATGGTTATCCCCCAACACAAGAGGTTGGTGATTTACTCCTAAGTAGAATATGCACTCACGGCAGTTGGCAATACAAATCCGTTTTGCAGCTGCAATGATATGCACTCTTTCACAATGCTCCACTTTTACTACCTGACAGCATAAAAATTCATAGACTTGTAAAACATTTCGCAATAAATAAAAAATATGTTACTAACTTACTATGACTTGCTAAAGTTTGATGGATAAGTCTTTGTGGGGCTGTTGCATGGTGGTTATCAAGGACAGCATCCTTGACTGAAGGACAACATCTAGGACTAGCATCTTAGACTCTAGAACAGCATCTTAGGACATCATATTAGAGGACAGCATATTAGTATCTTAGACTAGCATCTTAAGATATGCTTCTTTGGCTGGCTAGCAGCCTATAATATGTATCCCCAACCCCTCAAGTTGGCATGGCATTTGTGTGAGTTTGTGTGAGAAATAAAACCGAAAATTGTCCCAACTCCTAGTGTCATCCTCTCGATGAGAGTAAGAATTCTGCTACTACCAAGAGTGAGAGTTCAACGACTAACAAGCTGAGTATCGAGTCAGATTATCTCAGTAGCATGAGCATCTCCCGCTCATCTCCCCCACCACACAACAGCCCAGTTTGCGATCAGCTGACTCCCGCCGCTCTCGCTCACTCCCCGCAGGCATTTCGTCAAGCAGCCCCCATGTAACGCGTCATGTCCGCAGGCGTCTCGGCCTTCGATACGGTCGCCTCGAGCACGCTTGGCTCGGCGTAGAGGCCAAACTTGCTGCGGCAGAGGAACGCGAGCGAAGCGGCGACAGAGACGATGGCGGCAAAGGCGGCGGTAAGGGCGCGAGGTGGTAGCGGCGAGGCTGGCAAAGAATGAGCGGAGGCGGGCGGCGGCGCGGCGGCGTCTTGGCAGAACGGAGGTCGAGGCTTCGGCGGCAAAGATCGGCAGCTCCATTTCCGCCGACGACACGCCGACGCGGACCTCGAGCCGCTAGAGAGGGAGGAGGCAGAAGCGCTGGCGGCGCGATGGGCAGCCGCGCGACGCCACGCAGCGTGGCGGCAGCCGACAGCGCGGACGCTACCGGCGGCGCTCTGGAGGAGGAAGGCTCGCAGACGGCGGTGGCGCTGGGCAGGCAGCAGCAGCGCGCGCCACGAAGCGCGGCGGCGGCAGCGAGCAGACAGCGCGGACGCGCGCGGTGGCGCTCGAGGAGGAGGCGCGCCGACGGCGGTGGCGGACGGGTCGATGGAGAGCGCGGCCTTCACAGCGGCTGCGGGCTCTCTCTCCGGATCGAGACCGACGGGTCGATGGAGAGCGCGCTTCACTGTGCGGCGTGGCTCTCTCTCCCGGATCGGTACCGTGGTTACCACGGGCTCTAGGTCGTTGTCGAACGCGTCGGTCCCGGCGGTGGGTGGCCTACCTCACCAAGACCAACTACGCCGAGTGGTCATGTGATGAGGGTAAAGCTCCAGCGCGGCACATGTGGGAGGCGGTCCGACACGGGCGATGTCGACACGACCTAGATCGACGGCGCTGGATGCCCTCATCGGCGCAGCCCCGCCCGAGATGCGCTTCGCTCGCTTCGGCAAGCAAGCGGATCGCCAAGGAGGCTTGGGGACGCCATCTGCGACGACGCGGCATCGGCGGCGACCGCGCCCGCAAGTCCACACTACGGTGCACTTCGCAAGGAGTGGGAGAACACCGCCTTCAAGCCGGTGAGGACGTTGATGACTTTGCTCTCCGTCTCAACACTCTATTGCGAAGAAGATGGCATGCAGTTCGGCGACACACCCACGGCGAGGAGAGAGTCGTCAAAAGCTATTCCGCTTGCGCCCCCCGAAGTACAAGCAGATGGCTCGCTCGATCGAAGTCTCTCGCTGGATCTCTCCACGATGTCGATCGAGGAGGCGATAGGTCGCCTCAAGGTCGTCGGCGGACGATGAGCCTGAGCCCTCTCGGGGCCCATCACCACTAGCGGGAAGCTCCTTCTCACGGGGAGCGGTGGCTTGCCGGCCAAGGTGACCGGAGGAGGGGAGCCTTCTTCCGTGATAAAGCGGCCGCAAGCGTGGCAAGGCATAAGCGCGCAGAGACGCCAAAGTCGCCGGGGGCGGCGAGGACGTGCCAAAAGGTGATGCTCATGAGGCGCCAGGCGGCACCACGGCAGCCAAGCCGCAAGACGAGACGACACTGCCATGGCGGCTTGGCCATTGGGCCAGGATCGTCGGCAACCACGAGCGCGGCCGAGCCCACGCCAGACAAAGCGGAGGAGCGGCTCGTTCATGGCACATGCTAGCATCAAGCTACCTCCAGCTGCACACCGGCCGCAGCTGGCTCTCCTCCACCTTGACGAGCCAAAAGCACACGCCCTCCTCGGCGGCAGCTCCAACAACGACAAGACCGACGGGTGGTGCCGACGACACAAGCGCCACCCATCACATGACCGGTCGACGGAGTTCTTCACCGAGGCGACTCTAGCGTCCGAGGCTCCGTCAAGTTTGGGGATGCCTCCCGGCGTGGAGATCAAGGCGTCGGCTCCGTCATCTTCACCATCGCGGTGTCGGTGAGCACAAGCCGCGCACCGAGTCTACTACATCCCGTGTTGAGGAACTCCATCGACTTGGGACGGTGGATGAGAACGGTTCGTGGCGTGGTGGTTGAGGACGGAGTCATGAGGATTTGGGATCGTCGCCGTCGCCTTCTTGCCAAGGTATCCGAAGCTTAAATCGACTCTACGCCCCTTAACGTGCGTGTGGCACAACCCCTCTGTCTCGGCCGCTCGTCGGGACGACGAAGCGCGTGGCGAGGGCCGCAGCGCCGGGCACCTTCACTTTGAGGCCCAGGCGGCTCGATTGCCACGGAGATGGTGCGAGGCCTACCATGCCTCGACCATGTGGGAGCGGCGACGCGACGTCTGCGTGTTGACGAAGCGAGGCGACTCCCCTTCCCCCAATGGGCGAGCCGAGCCAAGGAGAGGCTCGAGCTTGTGCACGGGGACTTGTGTGGCTCGCGGTGACACCGCCACACCGGGAGAACGACGCTACTTCCTGCCGCTTCGTCGACGACCTCTCCGTTACATGTGGGTGATGGTCCTCGGCGCAAGCAAGGGAGAGGTGCGGACGCCATCGCGCCAAGCAGTCGCCGCGGAGGCGGAGCGCGAGTCTTGACGCAAAGTCTGCAGCGTCACAAGACCGACAACAACGGCGGCGAATTCACAATGGCTAAATTCGCGTCGTCATCACTGACGAGAGGGCATTCGCCGCCACTACTCCGCGCCGCATGACCCATGGCAGCAGAAACGGCGTCGTCGAGCGGCGCTTAAACCGAGACGGTTGTGGGGATGGCTCGGGCCCTCGCTCAGCAGAGAGGGATGCCGGGTGTCTTCCGGGAGAGGCGGTGGTGGCGGCCATCTACATCATCAACCGCTTTCGCCCACCAAGGCACTTCGATGGCGGACGCGCCGACGAGGCTTGGCATGGGCGCAAGCCGGCGATCTCCCACTGCGGGTCTTGGTACGCCTCGTGTTCGCCAAGGAGCTTGGCCACATCAAAGAAGCTCGACAACAAGAGCACTCCGGAGTGTTCATCGGCCACGCGGAGGCTCGAGGCCTCACCGCATCCTCGACGAAGACACGGCGTGTGCGCGCGGCAGCCATGACGCGTTGTGTTCGACGGCGGCGAGGATGGGCGTGGGACAAAGCGGTGGACGACGGCTCGGCTCCGACGTCTGACGACTTCATCGTCGAGTACGCCCACGCCGAGGGGAGCTGGGGAGTAGGCGGCTCTTCTTGGCGAAAGCACGTCTACCCCGGCCCCCGAGCCTCCACCACCCCGGTGCACTGCATCTCGACAAAGACCACGCTCTCCGGCTAGGACCTCGGCTGCGATGAGTTCTTCACGGCTCCACACCGGTACCGCAACGCCACGCGACTCAAAGACCGACAGGCACCACTCCGCACGCGTCTACACCACCGGCTCGTGTCGAGCACGGCCGATTGAGCTCAGCACTCGCCTCTCTCACGACGAGGAGAGCGTCAGCGCGCACCACGACGGCGAGCCGTTGCGGTACCGCGACGATGGAGAACCTTCTCGGCAACCAGGTGCGGGGACGGTGCCTCACAACCTGGAGGCGCAGATTGCACTGCTTGCGTGTGATTTGACGGCGAGCCTCGGCCGCTTGCGGAGAGGTCGAGAGACACGTGCATGGCGCCGCCGCGATGCGATTGGAGATGGATGCGGTTGAGAAGAACCGCACCTATGAGCTTGTCGACCTTCCTCGTGGTCACCGCGCGATAACCCTTAAGTGGGTGTGTACAAAGTGAAGAGGATGAAGCCGGTGCCATCGTCAAGCACAAGGCTCGCTTGGTGGCACGAGGTTTCGTGCAAAGCAAGAGGGTCGACTTCGACGACGCCTTTGCTCCGTGGGCGCGGATGGAGTCCGTCGCGACTCCACCTGCTGCGCTTAGCGCCTGGAGGGTGGCGTGTTCATCACATGGACGTCAAGTCGGCGTTCATAATGGCGACTTGAAGGAGGAGGTCTACGTGCACCACCACCGGGGTTTGCGATCCCGGCAAGGAGGGCAAGGTGCTCACCTGCGCAAGGCCCTCTATGGCTTGTAGAGACCGAAGGCGTGGAATGCCAAAGTGGATTCCACGCTAAAGGGATGGGCTTCGAGCAAAGCCGCGACGAGGTGACCATCTCACCGATGGGGCTTTGGAGGAAATGCTCTGTTGGTGGGTGTCTACGTCGACGACTTGGTGATCACCGGCACCAAGGATGCGGAGGTGGCGGCATTCAAGGAAGAGATGAAGGCCACCTTCCGGATGAGTGTGACCGGGACCTCTCTCCTTCTACACAGGGGATCGAGGTGCACCGGAATGACTCGGGATCACGCTTCGACAGCACCGTTTCACGCCAAGCGCGTCGTTGAGCTAGCTGGGCTCACCGATCGCAACCCAGCTCTCACTCCGATGGAGGAGAGGAAAAGTCGAGCCGCGACAAAGACGACGGAGGTGGACGCCTACGATCTGCGGCGTCTTGTGGGGAGCCTTCGCTACCTCGCCCACACACACCACCGGACTTGGCATTCTCCGTCGGCCACGTTAGTCGGTTCATGCAATGACCGACGACGGAGCACCAAAGCAGTCGGTGTGAAGAGGATCATCCGCCACGTTATGGGGACTCTCGACCACGGCCTCTACTACCCGAGGTGCCACTGGGCGGCACACTTCGCGTCGCATGCAATGACAATGACCACACCTTGCGCGACATCGACACCAAAGAAGAGCACGAAGCGGGATCCTTCTTCTTCCTCGGCAAGTGCCTTGTTAGGTGGCGATCGGTCAAAGCGGCAGGTGGTGGCTCCTGCCCATCATGCGAGGCCGAGTACATAGCGGCCTCCACCGCCGACTCAGCGCCTGGCTCGCCTGATCGCTTGGTGATCTCCTCGGTAGAGACACTAAGGCGGTGGAGCTCTGGTGGACAAGCAAGTCCGCTCTGGCCCGGCAAAGAACCGGAAATCTTCCATGAACGCGCAGCAAGCACATCCGGGTGAGGTACCACTTCATCCAGAGGTTGTTTGGCGGAAGGGAGCATCAGTATGAAGCTACATCAACACCAAGGACCGACATGGACCGCTTCACCAAGCCCCTTGGGAAGATCAAGTTCCTTGAGCTCATTTCGAGAACCGGATGGTTCAACTCTCCCACAACACGACGCACAAGACTTAGGGGAGAATGATGGATAAGTCTTTGTGGGGCTGGTCTTTGTGGGGTCTTTGCAGATGGTGGTTATCAAGGACAACATCCTTGGTGAAGGACAGACATCTAGGACAGCATCTAGGACTAGCATCTTAGACTCTACGACAAACATCTTAGGGATGACATCTTAGAGGACAGCATATTAGCATCTTAGACTAGCATCTTGGCATATGCTTGGGTGGCTAGCGACCTATAAATAGTATCCCCAACCCCTCAAGGTTGGCATGGCATTATGTGAGTTTGTGTGAGAAATAAAACCGTAAAATTGTCCCAACTCCTAGTGTCATCCTCTCTCGATGAGAGTAAGAATTCTCTTTGCTACCAAAAGTGAGAGTTCAACGACTAACAAAGTTTTACCAATGCAATTAACTACTGGGATAGACTGGGAAGGTGGTAATGAAATAGGAGGAGTGGGGGATCAGAGAGCTATAGGAGGACGAACAGTAGAGATGGGTTCAGGATTCAATTTCACCAGTGTCTCTCGTTGATACAGGTCTTCAATTCTTATAGCAAGGCATGTACTCTGACAAAAGGGCCACAGGCCATGGTCCATGAAAAGCTTAATTCTTTACAAAAAACACCTTGTGCACATTGGTGCACAGAACACGTCTAGGACACAACCCAGAATATCTCCCCACACAGCTGACCTATCAGCTACCTACATCATCTACAGCCTATTTCTGCAAGACTGCAACCATAAAGTAGAATCTGATTGTTAGCTTGCTGCAGTCCCATTCCTTGAGAGCTAAATTTTGTAACTCCTAAACAGTCACAACCTTTGTTGCAACTGGAGTACTGGACATCAATTAAGATTTTACAAACCACAACAAATATCCACGGCAATGGCAGGTTATCTGCAAAGCTTATAAAAGTACAAAGCAATGAATCATACATGTGAACAAAGCCACTGTAGCCCAAAATAGGCAGGTGGCAGATCCATTTCAGACTTATCAAGGAAGCAAGTGGAATCATTCTTAAACAAAATATAGATGAAAATAAAACAGAGTAACCAGAAAGAAAATTCAATCAACAGAAATAGAATTATATGCATACCTTACCAACAGCACCAAGAACAACTGTAGCATCAGAACAGCCGTACACAGTAGCATACTTCAGCGGTGCTAATATGTAGATAACAGAATCATGGCAGTTCAAAACCTACAAAAGGAGTTTGCAATTTAAGTTATAGATGGGTTCATTGTTCAAGTCAAGAAGCAATATAATCGCAGTAGATTAAAGCAATGTGAATTGTGAAACTATATAAAACATAAAACACTTCCTCTGCCCAACAATCATAAGGTATATTTTGGTACAAGAGTCTCCAAAAGTATATCTTGACCATTAATTTATCTTACAGTATATTGTCATTTTCTACAAAATTAACATCATCTTGAAAGGTATTTTGAACTATTGATAAAACATCTATCTATACTCTAAAGATGCGTATGAGTAGACAAATTGCTGGTCAAAAATCACGGAGTGTGAATTTTCAAATCAAAATACTCTTTCATATATGAACGCAGGGAGCACATGCCTTTATGCAAACCAAAGTTGCTAGATGCAGGGTTCTGAGTGTTAGTAACTTAGTATAATCCCTGCTGTTAGCATAATCCTTGCTGCTGTTAGTATTTTGTTAGAAGGGCAGGCCTGGTGCAGTGGTGAGAGCTCTCTCACTGAGTCACCAGGTCGTGGGTTCGAAGCAGCCTCTCCGCAGATTTTTGCGGGGGAAAGGCTTGTCTCGGTTTATCCCTTCCCCAGACCCCACTCATGTGGGAGCCTCCGGCACTGGGTCTGACCTTTTTTTTTTGTTAGTATTTTGTTAGTGAGTCAAGTCAAGGCCTGTAAGTATGTTAGTCCACTCTAGTCTTCCTCTTAATTTCTAGGAAAGTCACTAGGTAATTTCTAGGAAAGCTACTAGGGCTGTTTTCTGTACTCTCTTTTAGCTAAAAATAAGATATAAAGGCACCAGCAAGCTACAGCACATAGCAGCCCAAAATCAGCCTCCATCTCTCTCAAAGTGTAGTGCAGCAGCAGCAGCAACAAGCAGCTGCATATACCACTATCAATCCTAACACTGAGTAGCCTCCACTGAGGTTACACTTTAGTTCTTTTTCCAGATCAAATTATTGACCCATATATTTCTTTTTCGGTTTAAACGTCCTCTGGACACTGGCCCACATCGTGATAGTCAGAATTATCATCTCTCTACCCAAAAGCTACAATGTAGTGTTTCGTCTTCTAATCTAAGAACTAGTACCTGGCAGAGATTGGTATAAACCCAGTGAAAAATTTACGCTTGATAGTGTTTGAAGTGCCATTTCAATAACCAGCTAAACACAACATGTTATGACCATATATATAGATACAATAGAATGACGGTGGTCAACTTTTGTAGCTTTGAGCATATAGAATTATAGATACATAGAAATACTTAGATTAAGATTGGTCATACAGAAATTAATAAATGATAGCATCAAAACTACTTACATATAACTTTCATTTCTCAGTTTTGTGAATGTATAATTAAAAAAGTAATAGTCAAAAGGTGTGTAGAGGGACCATACCAATGCCCACAGTGACAGTTAAAGAAAAATGGAGAGACAAATGCAATCACTCCAAAACTTACGAAACCATAGTTTATATTTATGAATTTTGAAATCCAACTTTGCATATTTGATGGGGATAACACTCCAAAGTTTTGCTAAAGGAGAAAGATTAAAAACTATCAATGACCATTATCCAGAAGTTAGCTATTCGCAACAAACTATCAATGTACCTTTATTGAATTCCCTTTGATATCAGATGCATGCTTGACAACGGAGGTTTTGGAAAAGCCCTCCACAAACGTTACGTTTCTGTAGTATGCAGGATTGGCACTTGGTGTGCTGTTCCGTGGGTGACTTGTGTTGGCCTCAGCCATGGTCACATCAAGATCAGACATGGTTTGCAGGTTGCTTTCCTTTGCTGCGGACCTCTCAGCAGAATATTCCAGTGAAGAAGCTATGTTCTGTGACATCCAATCAAGAACCTGAGCAGCAGGGACAGGCGCAGCAGGCATGTCTGGGTCTGAGTTTGCAAAAATGTAGCAGCCTGGCTCAAGGAAGTTCCTTCTGAGAATTGAACTAGAAATCCAAGGTGCTCAAAAGTCTCCATTGTCAATACCTGCACAAAAGTCAATGCAAATAACAGTCAACAACTCTTTAGAGTCAGCATTCTGCAATACAACGGTCTTGTCACATGCAGCTTTGCCCCACATTGAAGAGTAAGGCACAGTACAGACATCAATATAATCTTTCATGTGTCCATTTCTTAAAAAAATCCCAGCCCACATTTTATTCAAGGTCCAATTAAAGTTTGTATGTCAAAACCAAAAAAAAACAATTACTTTCAAAACAATATCCTAAAGGGGCTACAGGACACTAAAAGTGAAGACACTCTGGTTCGTGACAAACTTACTAGAAGACACTGGGTACATTAAAATTCATTTCTGGCTCGGAAGGAGAGAGAACTATGGTGAAATGACACTTTTACCCCTGGCCCTTCTTCCTCCCTTTCAATTCTTTCTCTTTCCTCCCATTTCTCTCCCCTTGCAGTGTGAGCACAGTCCATCGGCAGGGGCCTCGCCGGCGGCGATGTGCGACCCGAACAGCTACTCCATCCCCTAGCGCACCTGTGGGTGGCTGCAATTTGGCCGGTGGTGGCCTGCAGCAAGCCAGCCATGGGCAAAGACGGCATGGCCGGCGTGACATGACTGCAGTACGGTGGCAAAGGGGATGTGGGTGGTGGTGCGGCTTGCGGAGGCACACACCAGGTTTGCAAGGATGTGAGGCTCAACCAGGCAGCTCTCAGGCTAAGCAAGCGACAGCCATTGGGCAGGGTGGCAACCGAATCAGCACGGCGCCTCCCAAGCTCGTCGCCAACGTCGTGCTAAATTCGGACAGCAATAGCCACCGTTCGTCGATTCAGTGCACACAACGCACCCCCCATCCAGGCACACATGCTCAATCCACTAGTGGCCTCTCCCCTCGTCGGCCGCAGAGCGCTGCTTCCTCGCCGGCGCTATGCGCACCTCCATGGTTGTCCACGCGTGCCCCCACGCCTCGCATCTCTCACAGTCGCAGCCGCGGCTGAGCCCTACGCGCAGCCACGCCACATGCTCGAGGCCCCCGCGCACAGCCATGCCACACGCCTGCCAAGGCCCCGTGCCATGACCGCCTTGGTCCTACAGGAGAGAGAAAGGGGAGGAAAGAGAAATAATAGAAAGGGAGGGAGGAAGAAGGGACAGGGGTAAAAACATTGTTTCACCGCAGTTCTCTCTCCTCTCGAGCTGAAAATGAATATTTTAGTGGACCCAGTGTCTTTCAGCAAAATTGTCACAAGCCAGAGTGTCCACCAGCAAATTGGACTTTTTCGGTGTCCGCTGGCAAAGCGACTTCATTTTTAGTGTCCTGTAGCATTTCCCTACCCTAAAATAAACAGACAAAAGGAAGAAACGTCATTTGGACCATATATATCACCGTCTGCATAAAAGATCCATTCCTCACTCTTTTAATTTTGATTCTAAGATTAGTTGTAGACATGTTTACCTGTTGTTGATCTCTTTCATGAAAACTCACACCATATCTCATATTATACTAGTGAAGGCCTACATCTTGAAAAAGGTGAAAACAGAACTTTACATGCCATTTTACAGGAATCACCCATTTCTATTACTGTCTACTCTGATGTTTAAGGCTATTGTTTAACCAGCTGTTCATCATCTCAGCTTTAGCAGGAAAATCAGAAAACAAAACATGCCTGAGCATATTGCTCAGCAGAAATGGTGGCATACCAGTGAATCATCACCCTCACCCTCAACAGAATCTGCCAAGAGAGTAAGAATATTCGCCATATGCTTTTGCAGATAGGACAACTGACGAATTTCTTCATCAGCTTGAGAAGGCATAAAACGACGGCTGTTACTGCGAACAAGCTGCAAAACAATATAAATTGGAATAATTAAAGGCAGGTTAGAGGTGATTTTAAAATTATAGACAATCTAACCACTTGAAATGGAAGATGGCAGCGCAGCTAAAACTGACTAGGGCTACAGTCAATAACAAAGAAGTAAAGGAAAGCTTGTTTGGCAGAGCTCCCAGTGCAGCTCCTAGGTTATACGATATTATACAGAAGATTGTATGAAATGATTCTCTGAAATGAAACAAGGACTGAAGCTGAAAAAATAAGTTTCTCCTGATTCACTTCCCAGATAGAATCACTTCCTCGGTAGAGTTTATCTTATAGAATTTGAGTCACAAAAACACTTCTCTGAGAGAATAACTCTTTCACTTCCCACAGAGGATTAGAAGCAAGAGGAGCTCTACTAAAATGACCCACAAAAGATAAATTGTATTGTCATGCCTTCGAATGAAAAAAAGGTTGATTTAACTATTTATGTTGTGGATATGGTCTGGGTCCCGAATAGCTATAGCTGTCATTTTGAATCAAACTTGCTGCTTCAAAAACACAATGTGAAACTGGAACCCAAAGTATTAATTGTGAATAGCTCTCTATATACAAAGATGAGCGAACACTCTGCAGGCAAGGAACCTATAGGAGTTAGTGCACATTGGGTACTATTTACATTTAGTATACAAATTTAAATCATTGTGGGCACATGGATTTAAGAAAATATCAGTTCTTTATATTCACCATTCAAAACGGAGAACCAGACACACTTCAGAGCGATGATCTGATCTGTGCAGTGTAGTCCGGGTGACACTGTATGTTTCACAGGGAATTTACTTGCAGCTATTTAAACCCTATGATGAAGTGTAAATCATATATGAAACAGAGAGCCTAGATTTGCTAGTTAGGAAATTACACTGTTATAAGGACATGGAATATGATACAATTATCAAGCAGTGGCTATCGAAGTGAATTTCAGCCAAAATCAGAACGTCTAATCTACTTACAGCATGTATGCATGCTAAGTAATTTGCAGATATATGGCAACTTATTGAGGCCAAGCGACCATATAATTGCTATACTAGGTCTACTGGTATAGCCATCATAGACATGGACTATAGTCTGCAGTCGCGATATCTCTTGCTGAACATTAAGTCTCCAAGGGCTCGGGAGCTGAGTCTATGGAATTCCAGTTTTAGCAGTCACCTGCCTCGATCTGTGGCTGGATGTTTTCTAGAGCAGCATCACATGATAACAGGGTGGCAATAGTCTCTTTGATGGGTCTGTCATCACTCATCAGGGATGTCAAAAACAGCATTTTGACAGTGCTAGGTTCCTATGGTGAGGTGTGCCATGGGTGTGTGCCATCGAGAATACTAACAGGCAGGCCTCTAGTATAGCACAATTTCAGCAGTCAATGAACGGTATTCAAGGTTTGGTTGTTGCCGGGTACAGGGGTACGGTGCCACCGTCCCACTGAGATGTCGCGTCTAATTCACAAATGAACGTGAAACACATTATGCTCTGCATCGACTACTAGCACTCGCATCACAATCGTTTTGAAAAGCGATCAAACGAACGGGACGTGTTAACCCTGACCTGGATCGGGGAGAGCGCGGAGAGGTACCCATCGAACGCGGAGGTGGAGGGCCAGACGTCCGCCACGGCGGGCGAGTCCTTGTGCGCGCTCCGCGGGACGAGGCGCTTGTAAGACTGGATGTAGAGGAAGAGCAGCACGTCGCGGATGTCCGCGGCCGCACCATCCACGGCGCCGTCCCCGAGCGCGGGGTCCTCGGCGGGGAGCACTGCCGCGAGCGTGCCGAGGGCGAGCGCCGCCTGCTCCTGCGGGATCTGCAGCGCCTCCGCCAGCGCCGCGGGCACGCGCCCGTCGGGGGCCGAGGCGGCGAGCTTCTCCTTGAGCTGGGCGAGGGTCTGCGCCAGAGTGCCCTCCGGGAAGATGAGCTTTGGGATGGGCAGGAGCCCGTGCTCGAACGCCTCCCGCCGCGGGCGGAGCAGCGCCGCGGGGGACGGGGTGGCGGGGGCCGGCGGCGTCGCTGGAGCCGGAGACGGAGACGGGGCCGCGTCCGGCGGCTGGTCCAGGGCCTCGTCGGCCATCGCGGCGACGCGAGAGGGGCGTGGAGGAGGGAGGGGGGAGATCTGGGAGTGCGGTGTGGGAATGGCGAGGATCGGAGGAAGTGGCTTGATGCGGAGCCTCTCTCTTTTTTCTCTCTCTTTCTCTTTTTTGAAGGGTAGTTTGGGGTTTCTAATCTGGTTTCGGTCGTGGCAAGATGGGATTAGCACTTCAGCAGCATTCGTTCGTACCCGAAATGGACGACGGACGTGTGGCCCGGCCAGGCACGTCACGGCCCGAATCCCCACGTACTCAACCCGTGCGGCGTGCGTGCTTGTGGGCCGTTGCCCGTGGATGGATGACGGCCTGCCTGCGGCCTGGGCACGCAGCCACGCACACACCACCTCCGATCGATCTGTCGTCGTGAGCCGCACAACGGCACGAGAGCACGTGCACGTACGGGCCGGGCCAGGTGCCCGGTACGTGTTGGGTTTAGGGCCTTTTTGAACGTGGAAAAATTTCCCTTGTGTTTTTTCTTAAAATTAAACTGATTCCTGTGAAATTTTTGTACGATTCTTGTAAAATTTCTACGTTCTAAACAGGCCATTACCTTGTCTCTCTCGTTTTTTTCAAAAAACAATCTTTATGGCTCACTTCAGATATAAAGTATTTTTGGAGTTTTAGAAATACATAGCCTGTTTGGTTGGGGCTGAAACGATCGTATACGATCGTGGATTATTACTGCTGGCTAGTTTGGTGTGAGAGAAAAATACTGTTCTGACTGGAAATTTATGATCGTTTACAAAGCGAACAGGCCGACAACTATCGGTGTTTCGAGTAAACACCAACGAGTAAATTTGTATTATTGCGCGTTTGGCCCGGATGGTATGCTAAAAAGACACAAGGTTTATACTGATTCGGGCAGAATGTCCCGTCTAGTTTGTGGTTGCTGCTCATGTTATTTGCACTAAAAAGTTCATAGTAGGGGAAACAAACTGGCGTGAGAGGGATAGGTCCTAAGTCTATGATGGAAAGGTCGAACGGGTGCTGAGAGCTTGATGTTGTTAGCTATGTGGTGTGATGTGTTTGGAATCAATCCGTCTCCTTAGTGGGGCGCCCTGCCTTCCCTTTTATAGACCAAAGGGAAGTAGGGATTACAGATGAGAGAAAGAAGAAAAACCAGAGGCCAAGTAGGTCCTTCACAGATGCCGGGTCTTTCTTTTTCTCTGAGCGAGCCCCGCTGACACGGCAGACGGTGCCAAGGATAGCTCCATGCTGGGTGCATGTTTGTCGATCCTAATAGGGTCGCGCTGGGCGTCTATCCACTGATGATGCCATATTCTGGCTTTGTTCGTAAGTGATCACGTCCCATCCCGCCCCGATGGACGGCGTGACGGACCAGGGTGTTGATCCACGACCCTACGGGGAGTAGACGAGGCAGTGACCGCATGTTCGTTACTGTAGACGATGCGAGTCTCCTCCTAGACCGTAGTGGTTGTCGTATGCTTCCATCAAGATCTGTGCCCGAGGGCAAGTGGCGGTGCCCACAACACTGTAAGACAAATGTCGACACCTACTACACTGTTCGAGCTCTGACATGCCTGAAAGTACTTAAAGCGCCCGTCTTGTAATATCCTGACGGTACTTTCCTGCAGGTATGCAGGGTATGGTCCTCGGTACTACGGTTAACTTGAGTGCCCTGTCTTATTCGCGTGCGTAGTTATGAAGGAGCAGCGTGCATATGTTCGGGCGAGGCGGAGCCAGCCCTCGGACGTCGGATGAGGCGGAGTCAGCCCCCGAACGTCGGGCGAGGCGGAAACAGCCCTCCGAACGTCGGGCGAAGCGGAGTCAGCCCCCGGACGTCGGGCGAGACGGAAACAACCCTCAGACGTCGGGCAAGGCGGAGCTAACCCTCAGGGGTCGGACGAGGTGGAGCCAACCCTCAGGGGTCGGGTGAGGCGGAGCCATCCCTCGGGAGTCAGCCAAGGTCGAGCCGACCCTCGGCGGTCGGACGAGGCGGAACCCGCGGCCTTGGTGGCTGAATGAGGCAATGCCCAGCAAGAGGTGCAGTTGTGCTCCTAATGCTGGGACGAATCAATGTTGATAGGTATTAACTCCTCCTCTTTGGGTACCCTACTATTGGTCCCCGACAGTAGCCCCCGAGCCCTCGGGCGATTTGAGTAGAATTGTCTGGAGGATTTTTTGGCCTGCCAGCGGGTGCGCGTGAGCGCACCTGGTGGGTGTAGCCCCCGAGCCTGCGGAGGAGTAGAATACTCCTTTCGGAGGTTTTTTTGATTTGCCAGCGGGTACGCGCGAGCGCACCCGGTGGGTGTTGCCCCTAAGCCTGCGGAGAAGTAGAATACTCCTTCGGAGGGTTTTCCAAAAGAGAGGATTCTGAGAGCCCTGGCCCTCCATTGTTGCCCAAGGCGTGCCCTGAAGATGGCGATTTCTTCTTTGCCGAGGTCGGACCCTTCGTGGGTATGGTCGTGAGATTTGGTGGTTGTTTAGCCGGATAGCTCAATTGGGATCCTGGTATCCCATTTGCGGGGATCCGACCAGGGTCATCCCGGCTGAGACTCGATCGTGAGCCAACACTCCCTTGAAGTTTGTGAGCCTAAGTTTTGGCCGCTCATGGGCCTATCCTTTGTCGTAAGGCTGCCTAGGGACGGTCGTCGAAACCATTGATGGGCCAGCCCTCGAACTCCTAGGCCCAGGCAGCCAGAGGAACGCTTCTTGACCCATATCCCTTTTGCCGGTAAAGAGTCCTGGTTCGCCCAGGGAGGCAAAACGTCTGGTGCATTCTTTGGAGGGAAATGATAGGGATTGCGAGCGCATATCCCGCAACGTGACGTGGTGGCGGATCATGGCAGACGCGGAGATCCAGGCGGATGGTTGTCTTCCTCACATCCGTCGCCCCTATAAAACCAAAGGGTTCACCCCCAGGGTTTCGTACTTTGCCTCCTTGCCTTTGCATCTACAACCTCCGCCGCCAATCACCTAAGCCTCCTGCATCCGCGTCTCAGCCGTCGTCGAATTCGCATCAACACACTCCAATCCTCCAATGGAGCCATGGTGCGCTCCGATATCACCCTCTAGCACCTAGAGGGCCTCGTTCGCCGCGGTTTTCTTTACGAGCGGACTACCGCCGAGGAGTGGCGGCTGCCTGGCGATGAGGACGCGCCGTCGCCGCCCGACGGCTACGTCGTGTCCTTCGCTCACTTCCACGAGCGGGGATTCGCCATACCCGCCCACAAGTTCCTTCGGGGGTTGCTGCATTACTACAAGGTGGAGCTACGCACCTTAATCCTAATGGAATCAAGCACATTGCGGCGTTCATCACCCTGTGTGAGGGGTTCCTGGGGATTAGTCCCCACTTTGACCTGTGGTGGTATTTCTTCGCCGTCACCCTCCTAAAGAAGCGGGAGAAGAGGCAGGAGCTGAACGTGCCGATGGGATGCACCAGCATCCAGCTCCGTAACAACTGGGTCAACGAGTACTCGCCGATGTGTTTGTCGACCTCCAATAAGGGGTGGCATTTGCATTAGTTTTACGTTAAGAATGATGCAGCCGCCCCCTTGCCAGAGTTCACCGGGCGCCTCATCTTAGAGGTCCCAGAATCGTGGAGGAAGTGGGGAGTCCCGAAGAAAGACAAGAAGAGAATCCAGGACCATCTCACCGCCATCCAGATCCTGAAGGAGAGGGGCATGAAGGAGTCAGGGATCATCGACGCCTACCACACGTGGAGAGTGGCGCCGCTGATGAGGCGCGTGCTTCCCCTACACATGATGGTGCCTGGGGCATCACTCGACAGGATGATGCTTGCCTAGGGAGCGCCCTCCCCCTCTGAAGTGGCGCAGTGCATCAAGAAGGCGATGGAGCCTCCGCGGGACAACACCGGCGCTGTCGTCGAGTTTGTGTATCTGGTGCCGGGGCACCCCCAATGTGGCTAGAACCGGGGTACATCACATTCATAAGTTTTCTTTCCTCGTGCCTCCTTTTTAATTGAACTCCCGACCCCTTGATGTTGATATTGAAATAGGGGGACCAGACGAAGAAACTCGTCCTCCAGGACCACCTAGCTCCGCTGTTGAAGGACCCGTCTGTGACGGCGGCCAACCGCATCGAGGCCGAGTGGTAGAGGAAGGCGAAGGAGGAAGAGAGGAGGAAGAAACAGCAAAAGCTGTAGGCACGGGAGCGAGGGGAGGATACGAACAGTGATGATGACGATAATGACGAGGAGGAGGATGATGAGGTAGCTGCCGACACTGAGTGGGATGACCTGGCGAGCGAGGATACGCTGACAGGTATCCACTCATCCATGCAGGGACCCTTCCCATTTCATGCAGGGGGAGGCGAGTCCGTGAGGCCGAAGGAGGTGGGATGGATCATTGGCCCATCCTCAGAACCAGTAGGGGCGGGCGGTTCTGCTGCCGTGCCTCAGGTGCCAGCAGAGGGGGGCACCCCCGCTACTGTGCCTCAAGAGCCAGTAGGGGCGGGTGGATCCGCCGCCATGCCCCAAGAGCCAGTGGGGGCAAACGGATCCGCCGCTGCCCCCGAGATGCCGAGGGACGGGAGTCGCTCCACTGCCGCATCCTCAGATGCATGGGAAGCGATCTCCTTGGCCCGGGAGCAGGGGGCGGGTGCAAAACGGCCCTGTCTCGAGGAGGTGGAGCAGGGACTTGGGGGTTCACCCCCCAAACGTCTCCACCGCTCAACAGCGCCAACATAAGTCACCAACTCCTCGGTTTTCTCTGTTTTTCTCCATTTTTAGCGTGACTTACACCTTTTGTTTCTTGCAGCGTCCTCAGATGGGGCAAATCTTTGGCGCTGGCGCCCAAGAAGAGTGTCACCATTCAGGCGAGATGGCGGCCGTCGCCCGGCGTCTCTCCCGTTTCGGGCGAGAGCAGAGCTGGTGTCATAGCCTCGTCGGCCAGTCAGGCGCCACCCATGGTGGTGCTCGTGCCCTCGGCAGGTCAAGCGAACGTCGGGGCTGAGGGAGCGCCTTGGAGGTCATCGAGCAACCGGCGACTGAGGTGATTCTGCT